GGGGGGGGGGGGGGGGGCAAGAAAAGAGTGATTGAAGATGAAGGAGGAGGAGATTGATGATGAGATCAAAGGGTTTTGTTTGGTGATCCAAATATTTGTTGGCTGGTGTTTGTCATGTCCTGAACTATGGTAAATCCTGTGTTCTATATGGAAAAACACGTTGGGGTCCTTTCTAAGTTTTTCCCCAGAAATTCTCCTCCTTTTAGTCACCAAACAAGTTTTCCCTCTTTGTTCCCTTTCTCCGAAAATTGAGACAAAAAATAGAACAATCTTGTCAACCAAGCACTACCTAAGTATTAAGAGCTTCAGATATGAGTAGCTTTTTTTAAGCAGGCTGGAAATTTCTTTAAAGCACTGGAGCTCGTAGATAACTTTAAACATATTCCCTAGATCATAGGTGATAAAGGGGAAGGATCTGATATTCATCCCGGGGTTGAAAATTGTATGTTCTCGTTATTGAGCCGTGCCTGCTGGTTTATAAGTTACTGTGTTCCATTTTCTTCTTGTTGTCTCTCCTGTTTCTTTACCCTTTATGATATCTACTTAGAAAGCCCTTTTGAACAGAGAACTCTAGGTTTGACTTTGGTATTTTGTTTAATCTGCCTTCTGAATTTGCATTTTCAAATTGTGCTTATCCTCTTTCTTCCCTTTGTTGGATCAGGTTCTTCAGCATCTAAACCAGAAGAAGTCAAACGCCTTCCTGGTGGAAAGATAAAAAAGAAAGTAAGAACTTTCAAGGACTTTCCTTTTTATCTGAAGCATGCAAATCTCTCTTTTAAAGTTTCTATTGCCCCCGTCCCAATGACAATACAAGCCACGGTACAAATTTTGTGTGTTTACTTTCTTGGAATTCCTCCTGTTAATTCCTTTTGGTGTAAAATTTTGTATTACATCCCTGTCAGCTTCCTTCCTAGGTTAGGCTAATTAGCTTCCTTCTTATTTGTTATACTTTTACCGACATATTGTGAATGTGGACGATGCTAATTAAAAGGTTAAACACTTTTTCATCATGAAAAATTAAGTAGTGATCCACTGTTTATTCTTCATTATGTCATTTTCCTTAGATACTATTTTTGCCTGGTTGAACTTACTGGCTGGAGCTATTGTGTTTTGTGAAGGACTTTTTCCTTGTCAATGTGAAGAAAGAAAGCTTGCCTGTGAGGTCCATGTCATGATCAACCTTTCTTGTCTGAAGGCTGTGTGTAAGGACTAAATAAAGTACTAAACTAACGGAAAGCAATAGAGCTTATAAGAATCACTTTTACCCACAAAAATCCCTTTGAACTAGTACTCAGAAGCTGCCAAAGATACTCTTTAGGCTAGCTCACAAAAATTCCTGTTAACTAGTTTCCCTGTGAACTTACTCTTTAGGCTAGTGTTTCTCTTTGCATAAGCAATGTTTGCTGTTATAGGCATTAGGCTAGACTTTCATTTCATGGATGAAAATTGTTAGTACCAGATAAGCGAGTTGAAATTGTTTGACTTAATGTCTCGATCTTTTTTGGCCCTCTAAATCGAGCATTTGCTTATTTCAGCATTAGTTATAAAACCTGTCAGAGAACCCGGGGAAGTGGTTGTCAAGGGTCCTCTGTTCTGGGACCCTCGGTGTAAAGATAAAACACGTATGATCTTGAGGCTTTAGAGGAAATAAAGGTGTCACGTGGATAGAAGCAAATGGCTGCTCCTTTTGGGTTTCTTTTCTTTCTATGTTCCTTTTCTTTTTGTTAATTGAGAATTTGAAATAGATATGTGGATATCCTAATGGGATAGAGTAGATTTACTAAGAGTTCTTATCTCAGATACTTGAATCGATTTGGGCAACTAACTTAAGCAATGCAAAAGTCAGCAAATAAATTCAAGTATGATTTCATAAGTAATAGTATGACTGAAAATCATTTGGCATGATGTAGTTTGCTATACAAAAAGGGTAGAAACAGCGAGTGACATATCTACAAGTGATACACAATGTTTCAACTTCCTACAATCAGCTTTTAACTGTGCCCAGGACCAGAGCTCCTAAACTAATCTCGATTGATGATAAGTTGTTGAATTATTTTGTAGGACAAGCAAGAAATTATTATTGAAAAGGTGACACGGAACAAGCGGAAAAGTATCACTACCATCAAAGGCCTCGAACTCTTTGGTGAGCAAATACCTATATTTTAATCTGTATTATGTTGTATAATGTGTGCTCTTCTTTCTTTAGGTCCTTTTCAACTTCCAAGTTGCTGCAGTTCTTAGCTTGGCTAACTTTTTTTTACATTTAAGGTGTTAAACTAAGCGATGCTTCCAAAAAGCTTGGTAAAAAGTTTGCTACTGGAGCTTCCGTGGTGAAGGTGTGTTGAGTTGTGGGTTTTATTTTCTCTGGTACAGTTTTGTTGTATGCCTGACCTGCATTCACCCTTCAGGGCCCAACTGAGAAGGAGCAGATTGACGTTCAAGGAGACATATTTTACGACATTGTGGACTTTATTACAGAAACCTGGCGCGATGTAATGTTAATTTCTCTCTTATACTCAATTTTTTGTCTTTAAATGTGTAGCTGGTTCTTTAGTACTATTACAGAAAATTATGGCTGATTTTATAGCTGTATTTTTATAATTACCAGAGTGAGTCAAATTTCTCTCTTTGTCTAAGAAAGGAACTGCAATTAACAGAGATCAGGTCCCCCTATATGTGGTCAAAAGACAAAATTTTGATCTACTTGAGCCCAACCTTGGGCTTCTGAAGTTTAAATTATGCTTTAGAATTTGTCCTTTCATCTAAAACAGTTTGTAAACTTCTTTCTTGTTGCTACTATATGTTGTCAAAGACTAGTGAGTTATAGTAAAAAGGGCAGCTTTTATCTTTGATCGCTTTTTGGTGCACTCATATAGTCCCTACTTGTATAGAAGATTGGGTGTCTTTTGTAGAGAATCATATTTTGATGTAAATTCTCTACTTTTTGGTATACTTATTGTATACGGGAGTTTTTCTCCCTTTTGATTAATACAATTTACCTTATAAAAAAAAGGCAGCTTGGTGCACTAAGCTCCCCCTATGCGCGGGGTCCGGAGAAGGACCGGACCATTTTGAAATTTATTTTCCATTTCTTGTGTCCCCTCTAGAGTCTGATAAGAGCTTAATCAGATCTGGAATTTATTCTATATTTGAGGTTTTGGTCCATGTCTTTACGTTTTAATACTGTGTATGTTGTTGTTTGTTTGTCCATGTTTGTGCCTACATTATAGTACTTCACATGTTTGGTATTGCTCTCAGTGTCCCCTCAAGTGTTAGATAAGAACTTAACCAGATTGAGATGAAATAACTGAGAGGCTAACCGGAACTTCCTCTTTCCTGCTATTTCTATTTTTGGAGCCTGTGGCTACTTTCTTTCGTTGAACATCTACATTAAATGGATACCGAATTGTGCGTGGGAATAGTGTTATTTAGGTTAGTTAGTAGTTTGACTCGGTCAGTATTGATCACCTTACTATCTTGTTGTTTTTATTCTGCTTTATATGGTTTTTTGGTACTGTTCCTTCTTTAATGTTGTGCTTATGCTTTCTTGAGTCGAGGGTCTATTGGAAACCACCTCTCTATCCTCACAAGGTAGGGGTAAGGTCTGCGTACACATTATTCTCATACTGGGTAGGTTGTTGTTGTTGTAGTAGGTAGTTTAATTGAAAAAGTTAAAAATATTATATTAGTAAATACCCTTGTCTTATCCAATTTGTTAAGATGTTTGCTGAAGCTATTTTACTTTGCGGTTCTCAGGTTCCAGAATCTGCAATATTCTTCATAGAAGATGGGAAAAAGGTTCCCGCTGCATGAGCTTGGGAGACTGGTCAGTCTTGTTTTCAGCAAGGTGTTTTATTTATTCTATGCTCATAGCAAATCGACTAAATTTTGGGGTGAAATTTGTTTGGAGCTATTGAGGCTCCTAACCCATCCGACCCTTTTCTCTACAGCAGCTAAGGAAACCCAAAAACAGAATGGGATTTTGCAGTTGAGATATGGTTTGGTATGCAGCATATCTGCTTGGTACAGTTGCTGCAATACTATTTTGTTTCTGAATTTGGACAAAGTGAAATTTTGTATTACACTGTAGTTAGTGATAGTTTCTCTCTTATAATTGAATGGCGTTGGTATTTCTTTTTATATCAATATTTGTGGATTAAATTCTAAGTTGGTTATCAGTAAGAAAAATAAAGGGAAATTTTCATAGAGCACTATCTTTTAGTAGTAATTGTCACACCTCCTTTTTGCGCGTCCCGCCCCGAATGGTAAAATGCGCGAGGGAGTTTTTCCAATTTAAGTGACAATATTCGAAATGAGATTATTTATTTATTTCAGAGTCGCCACTTGGGAAAGGTTTGGCTTTTGGTGTCCCAAGTCACCGGTTTATCTTGAATCCCGAAGCGAGGAAATTTTTCGACTTTCCAAATGAAGTCTGTGAACCAGAAATTCTAAGTAAGGAATTCTGTTGACCCGAGGGAAGGTGTTAGGCACCCTCGAATNTTTCCAAATGAAGTCTGCGAACCAGAAATTCTAAGTAAGGAATTCTGTTGACCCGAGGGAAGGTGTTAGGCACCCTCGAATCCCGTGGTTCTAGCACGGTCGCTTAAATTGTTATAATGGCTAAATATCTGATTTAAATACATGTTATGACTTATGTGCTTTTATTAAGTTTAAACCGCTTTTATTATTATCATTTATTTTTATAGAATTGCAACGTCGTGAAAATGCATCTCGAACCACGTCACAATCCATGCACCCGTAGTTGTTAACACATTTCGACTTCGTTGAGATTTGAATTTGGGTTACATAAATGCGCACCCAAATTTAAGAATATAATTTGATTAAATCGCGCCTAAAGAGTCTGACGCGTTATTATCTCTGGGGAAGACAGTGAAATTCACTAAAACAGTCCTTCCCAAATTCTAAGTATTTATTATGATCAATTATTGAGGGCCCCGCGATTTGCATTTTTATTTGGAGAGGCTCGTCTCCTTATTTGAAAGGATAAACCTACAGCGACTACATTTCTATTATGTTTGTCTAAAGAATAGAAGAAAGAAAATACATGCTAATCAAATTACATGCTTGGCCAATTCTGGCCTCTTATTAGCTATTGGATTAATTATCTGCGAGGTGGGGAATTTTGTGCCTTATTGAACATGCTTTCAATCTGATAAAAGAAATTGCATACAAGGTAAATAGCATGCTAAGCTCACCCTAGACCTCTTTCAAGTTTAAATTTAAGCTAACTTTTAACTAGATTAATAGAATTGATTACTAGAAGCTACTACTAATAGAAATTCGAACACGGTTCTATAGACTGCCTAACGAAATCAGATTTAATAAAGTTAGCTCGAATGATAAAGAGAAACTATATTACATTGGGCAAGATTAGAGACAGTACCATATGTACAAAATATAACTGAAGATGAAGTCTAGTTATTGCTATACCAACTACTCGTGCATTTTACAAATTACATAATTACATCATACGTACAACTAAACAAACTCAACCATTGTGAATCACAATAATTAAACCAACTAAGTTTTTAGTTAGATACGAAGCTAACTGCTGTATTTTCCTATTGAGTTACAGCCTAAAGATTTGCACGAATTTACTGACAATTTATAAGACTATAGGTACAGCACCCAATGACTGAAGAGTTCTTCGCGTCTTTCATTTCATACTCATTGTTACTGTTACATCAAGGTGAGATTCAAAATGTGTACCTGGAATTTGGACAACAAGCAGGAAAAGAGGAGTGAGCAATGCAGCAGCAGTGATAAACAACAAACAGCACCAGCAACACAGCAGTTTCAGCAACCAAATGCACCAGGAACAACTCAAACGAAACCCGAAAAGATTTGTGAAAGCCAGGCAGCAACAGACAACATGCAAAAACTCAAAATGGACTTGAACTCAAACCAAAGTTGGACCAGTAGATTGCATAGGAAGTTTCAACAAGTTGGAGTCAAACCAGAAGATCAATATCAACTACTGGGGTTTTGAACTGAACCAAAACCAAATGGAATTGTCTTACAACAAAACTGAATTCCTTCTTTTTTTAGGACTGTTTTTATGGCTGAAAAAAAAAACCCTTACTAATGGAGACTCTCCTGTTTTTATAGCCTTTCCTCAGCCCATTCGAACAGCCTGCTTAAACAAAATGAACCACCCTCCCATGTTCTCCTACTGTTTTTCCACTCAACATATTAAAATAAAGACCCTTCCCATGAGATTCCCCTGACAGGCCCTTTCTTTACTGCTAAAGTGGTCTGTCTTTGTTAAATTAAGCAAATATGGGCAGTGTGGGCAT